TGTATGTGTGTGTGTGTGTGTTTGTTTGTGTGTGGTTCTTTCTGTACTTCTCTCTTTCACATTCCATCTCTGCTAGTTAAATGGGTATGTTCGCTTTGTTGAATACTTCCACTTCCAGTCAGATTTTATAATAGAGACGCAGGCAAGTTGGGGGTGGGGGGGGGAGGAATTGAGTAAACGTTTAGCTGAGGACCCCTTTCGAAACCTACCTGACCTACTATACACGTCCGGGGTTTCCATGCTCTGTGGGGGCCAACAAGGGTGTAGCCGTGACGTTAGCCGTGAAGGATTCTTCATGAACTGTGATCCAACGAAAACCGTTACCTGACAGTGTAGGACTACGCAACATTCTTCAGAGTAATCGGAGTCTGTTGTTGTGATTGGCATAGAAATTATTACAAACTTGATCAAAACTGTACTGCGTTTTTGAGGACGAACGGGGGGCGGGCGGGGGTAATTTAAACAGCAGATGGCTGGTCTTTCCATGAATTTAAAAAATTGCTTTACCCTTTGAGAACATACAATCTGGTTATTCGACAATGCTTGAAAACGAGCTGTTTAAGACACTTAAAAGTGAACAACAGCTCCATCACCTTGTAAATGTATGTTTTTCTTAATTAGAAGCCAAAAAAGACAAACCACTACATGTTTACTGTAGAGTATACTCAATATTGTTTCCCAATTGCGTGTGATCGTTCGAAATGCGCCAAAATATGGCATTTGGTTTTCTGTCAGACATATTTTTGTACCCGCTTCGTCCATAAAGAGTTAAATCATTGGTGGCTAAACACCAGTACCCAGGCATTATTCTATGTTTCGTGTCCCAATGGATATACAATTTTATACCATACGTGGAGTCGTTTAAGCATTGCATCTCAGGTAAAATAAATCTTCATACCAAACGCGTGATAAATAAGCTGTAATTACAATTTGCATAAATTATTCCGTGCACTATATTCGCCTTCTAACCTTCTGTAAGCAAAGTATAGATTTGAATTATAATATTCCTAGACTGTGTTGTGGCAGCCGCTCTTTGCCCTCATTTAAAACCTTGTTGCGAAACGGTCTCGTTGAAACTTGTGATTATAGTTTGATAATTTCCATCGTAGGATAAATCATGATCTCCCACCATAACTCAAGTAATATATTATTTTTTATTATGCTCACACTTTCGTCCCTAGAAGTTAAAGTATTGGTGGCTAAACCAGCACCAAGACTTTATTCTATATCTCGTTTCCCAAAGGATAAAGTTTGTATATTACGTTAGTTTTGTGGCATTGAATAATGCATAGTAAAGAATAAAAAATAATTTTTAGTCGAGCATTTTTGAAATATAAGCCACAGACGGCTCATTGTGGGGTATGTTGCATTGTCTGAACAGGAGAGAAGGTGGGGGCGGGGGAGGGAGGTAGCTTATAGCCTAGAGTACTTGGGTTGAGGATGGAGAGGGGGTAGTTTATAGTCTGGAGCACAGGGGTTGGGGGTGGGGAGTGGGTAGCTTATAGTCTGAAGTACTTGGGGGTATACTTATAGTCTGAAGTACTTGTGGTGGGGGTAGGATGGGGTATACTTATAGTCTGAAG